TCACGGCTGCGTGCGCACAATGTGCCTATACGATACAATGAGAATTCGTCGTTCGCAAGGTTTATGCTTTTCGAGAGTTTCGCGTTTTGTGTGAACGATGTTGGAGAGTCAGGAAACGCCATTAACATCAAATTTATAGTGCCGAACAAATTTATCGTGTCGATTTTAGTTTTTACTTCTTCCAGAAACGTTATCACAATGTCGGAACAGGATTCGTTTCGGAAGATATAGTTTCATGCTCTTTATGTTTCCGCAAAGTTGTCGATTTTTCTTGTATATTTTGAGGAAACTAAATCATAAAAGATTAATTTTTTCTTTTTTCGTAATATAGCAAACTTTTGTTTACTCTCTTCTTTTCTCTTCTTCCTTCATGTGCATTTTTGATAAACTCAAAAAAATTTTCCAATATGGATATCTCTAAAATGTTCTCGTGTTATTTATTGAAATGAAATTCTTATAGTCGCATCTGCTGGTATCAATCGATTGGTTCAAACACGAGCTGCCCGAAGCCACGCCATGAAAGAGATTCACAATGGTCGACGTCGCTATCGCCATTGTCCTCCGGTGTAAAGAGGCAAAAACGGTTTCAACTTTCGAGTGCCCGCACCACCCTGTCATCTCGCCCTCCGCCGATCTTCCGCGCTGGAGTGCTGTCGCGGTAGCTTTTTTGAGCTTTGATGGAGCGCCTCTTCAGTGCGCATAAGATGAAATGAATTAGTGCACCGGAACCAGAAATCGGCTGCCACCGACAACTCTCTCTCTCTCTCTCTCTCCGTTTCTCTTTTCTTCCTTGTCTTGTTCTTTATCGTTTCTTTCTCATGATTTTTGAATCACGCAGACCGTTGCGATCGTGTCCCACCAGTTTCTTTGGAGAGCATAAGCTTGTTCGGATTTATTACAATCACTCGTGTAAATCCTCTCCGACAATTCGAACGATCTGTCATGATCGTTGAATGAAAATAGTTGTAGTCGTAAATTGCTATAGGAGTAAGATCGCAGTTTCATTGGATTCAGTATCCAACAGAATGCAAATTGATAAAAAAATTAATCGTTCATAAAAAAATTAAGCGATAATGGAGTGTCTACATGAGTATCATCTTCTTTGCTATTCGCAACTTATATCAAACCAAATAATTCATGTAATAAAATGGGAAAGTATTCGTGATATAAACATGAAATATAATACATATAGATAATATAAACTATGTACACAGAGAGAGAAATCATATAAATGTATAGATAATATAACTGTTATAATACTATATAACATTTTTATGTAGCATTGAGAAAATATATTTTTTTATTGTCTTTTCTATGTATAATAATTGAAAATTTGTTATAAAGAAATTATATAAAGAAAGAATTTAAATGAGTTAATATGAGAGAAAAGTAACTTATTTGAAGAAAACTTTCAGTAAAATTACTATATTTTATATAACAAATTCTATTTTATACAACGAATTCTATTTTTTATATAAAAAAACATATAGATTAAAATATTATGTGTTATTTTATTGCTTGCTGTCTACTTCAATATTAGAAGTACGTTAGATCTCTCTCAGCTGTAGTCTTTAAATTACTGTTACAGGGAAATGAATCGGATTGCGTAATGCAATTTATACGTAAGGTTATATAATTTAATAGTGCTGTGATAACGTTGTGCATGCAGATTGTCTCTTAGAATTCGGTAAAGTGAACCGAATAACTCTTAATACACTGTCATTATTTTCTTCGAATGTCATTTGCAATTCCATTACGTTTCTCGACAGCAAGGATGAAATGTGCTTAATTATTCGTGCGGTTTCTCATTGACGCAATCAGTGTGGGATTGCGCGACATGACACATCGCGATTTGGTAGACGGGATCAACTGACACACACGAATAACGAATTGGAGTACAAAGAAACGACTGCATCTATGTATATATCATTATCGTTGCCGATGATCCGATTGAATTCGAGATGTGAACACGCGAGGGCCTGGAAAATTGAATTGCGCTTGAGCATCGTACGTTCATTTAACTTGATGCCGCTGCAAATGAACAAAACATTGGATTCAATTGAAACGTAGCTATTAAGCTTTTCTCCGATTACATATTTATTAAAGTTGCATTGAGTGCATATAAAAATGATCCTTTATTTTTATTTGACGGTTTATTCTTTCTATATACATATAATATAAATCTTGCAATTGATTAAAAGCGTCGTAACTCAGAAGCAACCGCCGTCTCAGGTAGAAAAGATTATAAAAGTCGTCGGGATTTAAGAGGCACTCCATACATCACTTGTATTCGCATTCACTTTAAACTGCCATAACCGAATGCGCCCGCTACCGCTTTTAAGAGGCGAGAAATTGTCGACGAATCCGCATTCCTTAAACGTTCTTTAGACACATTCCGAGCGATCATCCGATTGAAAAGCACCGGCCGCCGTTATGCAGGACGAAAGGCAGAAAGGCGGATCGTGCAAGCACGATTTTTCGATTTCGACTTTTTGTCGTCATTCAGTCTGCGAGATCGGTCCCTCTCCCTCCTACGCGTTATTGATTCTACGATGAATGAACCAAATCTACGCGACCACGGGGACTTCTTGGCTACCGTGAATGGGGCACGGTGTTGTCGCGTTCGGGAATAGAAAAAAAGGGCAGCCGGCTGGTTTTCACGTTTCGTCGAGTCCCGCGAATGGCAACACAAGTGTGCCATTGTCGGCTCGGGCTCAAGACTTCGAGAGCGCGAGAGATCTTAACGTATTGTCGCACAGCTTCTTAGCACTATTAACTACATTTTACCTTAAATTTAACCTAAAGTGGGGGCCCTCTTGACAAATTTTCGGGATTTAGGGCAACACGACCAGTTTCCCACCGACAATGGGTCCTTCGAGTGACCGTGTTGCACTCTTGTTGAGTTGTACTCTTTCTAACTGATCGTTTGACTGGAAAATCACACATAGGCGCGCGTTACGCTATTGAAGGTGGTGACGTGTGTCGGAGACACTTCTTTAGGATGAACATTTGATACATTACATTATTTGCAGGCTTTGTATATGAGAAATTATATTTTAGTGATCAGTTGTAACTTTCCAGTTCGTAACTTTTTATTTGCTGTCACACTTGTCGTTTGAATTGATATCGTCATATTTGAAATAAAATAAATTGTATACATATGTGCGTACAAGATAATACAATAATTACAAGATAAATTGAAATGATTTTTATTCTATGATCTTTATTCTATGACATTTATTGAAATGATCAATTGTCTTTGAAATGATTAATTGCATTTGTATTTTTCAATGTATAATTATATATTTTTTAAATATGTGATATATTAAACAATAATAATATAAGATAATGCTCCTGTGTTTGTAAAGCAAAACATCATAATTTAAAACCAAGAGCAAATAAGATATTTAAATAAGTGGATTCTTTTTTTAACTATTTAATAAAATAACAAATATAATATAATATAATATAAATACGTTTCAGCTCACAGAGTCTTCATTAGTTTATAATAACATAAAAAATTAAAAACTTACAATCCTAAATTTTACATCTAACTCTGAAGTGACAATAAGCGACCAGATAATCAGACAAAATTTTCTTTTCATATATGATGTGGTCATTAGAAATGCAGGCATACACTATATCCAACAATAAAATATAAGTTAGCATCAATGTCCAATAACAAATTCATCATTTGACAACGAGAATTACGTTAAGTTCGATGTAAATTGTGAGATCGATAATGTAAAATTGTCTGAACAATTAAATTTAATAGTCAGTATAAATTTATTAATAAAAAACAAGAATGTTGATGATTTTAAACTTATAATACAGTGAGCTAATGTGTTCGAATTAAAACTTTCTTAAAAATGATCTGATATTGCTTAATTTGTCTCTTATTGTTGACAATTATATTATATTATTTATATTATATTTGCTATTTTATTAAATGGTTAAAAAAAGGATCTACTTATTAAAATATTTTATTTGCCGTCTTTTGGTCATTTTAAGTTATTTATATATGATATATATTTATGTTAAGTATATTGAAAAGAACATTTTTTCAATTTGATTCTTGATTGTTTGCTATTTTTTAAAGTAATTGCAGAAGAAGCTTTTTCATATATATTTGAAATTATATTTTCATAAAACATATTGCAATAATCAAGAGCATTACTATCTTAACACATTAATATCTTATGGCGAATGCGATTGGAAGCATTAATACGCACTGATGTGTTAAAGTCTTTGTACACTGATTTAATTTGAGTATAAATATGAAATGTAAATATTTCGAATTATGAAGTACATATTTTATCTAATAGTACAATAAAATATATTGAGTATTTCATGATTTAATTAATTTTTATGTTTATTTACAAACATATCTTTATGTTATTTTGTGTATGACGGTTTTAATGTGCACCAGTGCGCACTGAGTGCGAGTCCAATCAAATTCGTTATTAGTAAAAAACTAAATATATTTAATTGAAAATGATTATACATTTTGAACATAGAATTGTTTTTATTAAATATTATTTTAATTATTTTATATCAGTAATAAGAAATTATTAATCTTTTGTTATCCAAAATTCTTATCTTTTGTCGTTTTATATATATATATATATATGATTTTTTTTACGAAAAGAGGATACTTTTCATGAAAATTTAATGAAATTTTTACAAGTCAAAATTTTATATATATTGTGTAACTATTTTAAAATTTATGTTTTCTGAGCATAAAATAAATGAATATATTGTATTTGTTTAAAGGAAGTTTAAGATTTTAATGAAGGCACAATTTCATAATTGTGATATTTATTTTAGTTAAATTTATATTAAAAATATATACAATTTGGGGTTTTCTGTATAAATCATACAAAAATATATTTACAATATAGTCTTACAAAGTATTATAATTAATTTACAATATTCACAATTTGTTGAATGTATTTTGTATATAATCTCAGTGCATATAATTTCATTGTCTCAGTCCTTTTCTTAAAGTGCTATCTGTTTATTTATCTACTTGTTCAATTTGTAAAGGTATCGTGAGAGTTTGAACTTTACATTACTTTACAGTCCTCGAAAATTTATGTAGATTTTCAAATTTATGAGTTAACGATACTCTCAACAGTATGCTTTGTGCATGTTATACTTCTGAACATTGGAGTTGTAATCGCCTCCGGATTCGGAGTTTGATAATCTGCCACCGTCTCCATCTTCCTTCTCTTGTCGTTCTCTTCATTTGCCCCCAAACTCCTCTTGCAACCTCGAGAGAGATCCCGCGCTTCGTATCCGAGTACCTGATCTTCCTGTACGGAGTTTATTCTCGAGAAGTCAAACTTCTCTTCGGGACCGACGTCTTCATTCGCGATCGATCTCTCAAGACGCTCACTTATGGCAAGTCCACGACTGAATTTGCCATCATCACTCTCGCTCTTTATCGATCTTTTTTCATCCTCATCTTGATCGCACTTCCGGCCGGGCGATTCCTCTCTGCAATTATCCTTGCGTTTACCACAAGTCCGTAGGCAGCAGCATTTCTGACTTTGGCCAGATGGTAGATCTTCCTTCTTATATTTCACACGGCGATTCTGAAACCATATCTTTACCTGTTTTTCCGATAGCCGCAAATTCGTCGCGATCTCAATTCGACGTAGTCGTGACAGGTACATGTTCGAGGCAAACTCGCGCTCCAACTCCAACAGCTGAGTGCTAGTGAACGCGGTTCGGATACGCTTCGAGCTGTTGCTAATGGAGCTCGGGGATTTTGGCGGAGGCGTCGGGGTACTATTGCGGGACGGAGACTCGCTGGGTGTTGAAACGTCTGGGGAAAAAGGTCAGAGGTTAATGGTGTTGCTGCGAGAGGTAGTTATTGCGATAGAAGAAATTTAATAGCTTGCCAAATGCTTGCTTTTACATATTATATGTCTCTAGCGAGATTAGAAAAATATCACGAAAATGTATAGTTAAAGTGATATCTTAGAAACCTTAAAAATGAATAAATATAAAAAATTTTAAAATATCTACTAATTTTAATTATTTTTATATATAACTTATATTATATATAATTAATACATAATAACTTAATATATAATAATGGTATACATTTGATATTTATTATATAATATTTATATCATATAATTGCATTAAGTATAATTAAATGAAGATCGGTTTTTGAGGTACAATATCAAATACGATTTTAGACTCATTATGTTAATTGTTAACGATTAACATTGCATGTAATCACGAAAGCAATTATATCTTTATGAATCATTAATAAATAATTATGGATTTATTAGTAAGATAATAATATTAACTATATATTTACCTGGTAGTCTACTTGTCAAGTTGTTTAAAGGTGATGGAGGACTCTGTCTAGGTATCGGCATAACACCCAGCGTCGGTGGAGTGATTGGTACAGGCATAGTGGGTGGTCTGGGCACTGGTCTGATTGGTTGGTATCCCAAACCCACATTAAAAAAACTGAACATGTAATTAGGCAGATTCCCATAATATGGTAGCGGATACGACGGCGGCGAGTTGTTGCCGATTAAAGAATCCACTAGGAAGCTTCGAGACATTTTCTTTTCTTTGAAAAATCCCCCGGAAGATCAATACAACTGCTCAAGTTGTGTCCAAGCCGTGGAGTTCACACGCGACACAAAGTAATCCAATGATCATTGAGACCTGTCTCGTCGCACTTAACTTTCTGTTTAATTCTTACTTTGAATTTAACGGTACAAAGAATGCCACTTTGAAATCACTGCGTTCTTTCTTTGCTCTTTCTGATTACTCTTTTCGGTTATTTTTAAGATGATTATCTTTTTCTGCTTTCAAACTCGCACCTTTTAATGTTTTTAATTGTAACAAAGTTAAAAATATAGACTCGAAGATCCTAACTGCACGGAGGTGCATTGAATTCTGTATTTCGAGGACCCTGGTCTTGTTATATATACGGGGTGCAAACTCCACCCAGGGGTTGGTTTTGATTCGGGGCCCCTTTATACGGGGCCCCGCCCTTCTTCTCCACGAGGGTGCCCCATTCGGGGTTCACCCTAACTGCCCTCCCCAGGGAACGACAGTGAGTAGGGTATTTTCTTGCAGCGCTAATTCGACGGGTGGCTAATATCGCCGGAAATTTTATACGGCCTCTTTACCATCTTTCTATTATTATCGACGCCCGACCCCGCCATACCCTGCCCGTCGTTATTCCGGAGTACGACCGATGAACTCAAAGTATGATTTAAATCGATCGAATAAGCTAATGTAGATATTAGATCTTCTCTTTCTTTCTTGATAAGTTAATAAAAAGTTTCAAAGTATTCTTAACTCTGAAGTCAGCTTTAAAGCTCTCGAATTATCGCAAGGAAATAGAGACAATTATTTGTTTATAATTTTAATTTTATGATTTATAAAAATATTTTGTAAAAAACATTTTATCGCGAAATACTGTTCGGAGATACTATAATTACTATTAATGAATCTTATTATAATGTGTTTTAATGCTGATATAATCTCCGTCGTTTAAATAATGACCTGAATTTATACGATCCAGTTTCGACAAGAGCAATGGAAGATAAAAGATCTTTCCGTTTTTTTCTGTGATTTTTCTTTATGAACAAGGGTGGAAAGGTTCCTTTTTTCCACCTTTTCTCCTCGTCAACGTTTATCAACTGAGCTTCCTTGGAACGTGCTGAAGAATCTGCGCGGGCAATCAAGATAAGCTTATAGGAGGAGTAGCTAAAGACGTTGGTATCTACATCGATTTGTGGAAAGCGTCATTAGTAGTCTCCGGTGGCGCGAAATTAGGTAAATGACGCCACAATAGATTTCCAGAAATTAATTGGATTCCAGAAAAAAATTGGACGTAATGAAATTTGTATATCTAATCTAATCTTTAACTGCCAATGCATTTAAGAAATATTTTAGAAGAAGAATAAAAGGATAGCACATCTCTAATTTTAGCTTGTCATTTTTTAAATAATTCTTTATTTTATTTTAAAATTCTAAAGTTTGTTTGAATAAATAGTTCTTAATGCGTTTAAACTTGCGATTTCATATTTATATAGATAAATGATTGAAGGTAAACATTAAGGTAAACATGTTTTTAGAGAGTATTGCTCTCTTACTGCACAAGTGACACAAACTAAAAAAATTGAATTTTCCAGAAAAGGGGAAAATTATTTTTTAACTTAACAGAAAATTATTAACTAATGAAATAATATTGACAAAAAGGACTTAACGTAAACAAATGTTATTTTTGTCATTTTTGTTTAATACTCTTAGAAACTATCCTTTTTAAGTCGTGATGATTTTGATAATTTTTTTAGTTAGTTTACTTTTGATAATTGATAAAGTTGATAATTGATAATGTTTTTGCTTTATTCATTCATGATAATGATTCAAAAATTACGTTTTTTATATTTATGCCATTTTTGGAGTGAATGAACGGATTAAATGAATGTGTATTCAAGTAAAAAAACGAAATAAATCTGTATTTTCTTTTTAAATATTTGATTCACGAATCGCACAATCTCTGAAAGGATTAGCAAGAAAATAAATTTTGACATTATCGCCCTCTATTACGTGGATGGATTAGTTTCATAGGAATGAAATTACGCCGGTGTGACGAGCGTCGATTTACAGACGAGACCGCTTTCCGTCGGTGTCTCTCCGAAGAGGCAAAACGTAAATTCGTTTCCCGCCGCGGGTCGATATTCAGCGAGGAAGTTCAAATCAAATCTCGGATCTGCTTTAGAAACTGAGATTCTAGTCTTATTTTTGCTTGCTCCTTTCTTCTTTCTTTTTATGAAAATTTGCATCTCCGAGTGTATCATGCTGATGAAATCTCGCAGTTGAAATAAAAGTAAGTAGACTGACCGAACATCATCAGAAAACCTTTTGCCTACTTGAAGAGTAGTATTTCTTATTTCTTTAAAATGATATTTTAATGTCCTTGCACAAGATTGCAGAAGTTTATTTTTTATTGCAATATTAATCGTAGAATATATTTTAATTAAATTGTAAAAGAGAACTAAACGATGAAATGAACCAAAAAATGATTGCTTTACATATAAAAATAAGTTGTAAATGTAAGATTTACAAAAAATTCATAGTCGTAGAGTATTTACTATTTATTAGTTTTTTTATTCATGTAAATGAAGACGTAATCATTATTCATAGAATATATGCAGCTGAATTTTAAGTAGAAACATATTGCATCTGCGCGTAACGTATTTTGTATTGAGATTGCTTCCGAAAATCGCCATCGCGGTACAGCGAAGCGTATCAACGGAAAGTCGAAAAGGTAATAATGATAATTTCGTTTGACTTCCATATACGCGACTAATTTCTTGATTAGCCGTTCCTGTAATTTATCGAGCGAGTCGCGCAATAGACGAAACCGTGATGCGTTCACAAAGCGGAAAATTAGTGTTTAACATGAAACACCGTTTCGAATATCCACTTTCACGATCAGAGTTTCGGCCTCGTCATTGCGCGAGTGTATTCTTGTGCGAACGATTCCATGCTGGCTGCACCTGTCGATATACCCGAAAATTAATTGCGCGCGACGACGCATTTGTTATGTCAAGGGAAACGCGACCTGATGATCATTTCGTGATTGGGACAAAATTGAGGCAATACGATACAATGATAACACGTTTTAGTAAAATACTCTAGAAGAGAAAGAAATAATAGTTGTTGCAATACTTAAATATTGATAGTTACGGAATTATTTGGCTTGCAATTGTGCCGTAAAAATAAGTAAACGAAATCTCGTCCATTAAATGATAATAAACTATTCAGTTAAATAGAAAAAAATGTTCTTTGAAGGAAGTTTCGCTTTTGCTGTAAAAATGTTTAACATTTTATTAGCTTAATTAGTTATTAGAATTTTAATATCTATACATACCTTATTATTATCAATGATTAAGTTACATTGGATCGTGATAATCTCTAAGGGTTGAAAGTCTCGATATTGACAGATAATATACCATATTATTTAGCGCACCGGTGAAGTTGAGAAAACATAGCCACGATTTTAAACTCCCTAACAACACGACTAATCCCATTATCGAAGTATACATGAAGGGGCACACCCCCCCACACTCTCACATCCTTGCATCCGCCTATTAAAAATCACGGTAACGTTATCTTACAGGGCTGAGAGTCGTGAATAATACAATAACGCTTCTCTCTCCCTTGCCTTAGCATATGTCCGCCGTATCCGCGATTCCAAGGGGATGCCCGCTGAACCCTTCGACTAGGGGTCGAAAACCACCCTTCCTATTGCAAAGGGAGCTATTCGGACTAGAACCATATAGTCCTCGTCCTGCGGACTCATGTACATCCTTAGCGACGTATCTGTAGCGTCATTACGTAGGAAGGATATTTTAATTTCGTCCACAACCCTCTACCTGGAGTTATCCTATTGGTCGCTCCCTTTTATCCGGGGCGTGACTACCCTCGTACAGTTTCGTTAGTTGTCCAATCTTCGTGATCGTAAGCACCCAAAATTTCCGTTTTGAGAGCATGCCTTCAAATGTGTGTGTGTGTGTGTGTGTGTGTGTTTTGTGTCTGCCGAGAGCATCGAAGCGTTGCAATTTTTAATCAGTAACAGCCATGGCAAAGCACAGCATCACGGAGTGATGACAGTATAGTTTAACATAAGATTTTAATTATTTTATTAACGGTATGGGTATCGATATGGTTCTTGTAAAAGTTTGTTACTTTATTCAGGGTGAGTTACAATAATAGTGTGGAATCTTAGTGGCATATTCATTATTCTTTCAAAGATTAAGGATGAGGGATTTCTAAGATTTAAGTACGAAAGTTATCTTTGAAATTTCATGTATTGTGTATAATAAGAGACAAGAACATTATATGTTTATACGTGTTCTTATGGAAGATGCACTGGGAGAAAAAGATATATGCATGATCTTAAAGAGAAAATTATTTTTGTCAATTTTATTCATAAGAAACCTCTACGTTGAAATTAAACGTTACAAGCGAGTGATCTTGGTACGAAATGCTCTCGACTCCAAATCCAGTATCGATCGCTACTCAGAGCTAATTGAATCAAAGCGAACTATATCGGGAAACTCGGTAATAATCGTTTACTATGGTCACGATAGAATCTGTTTATTAATTTGAGGTAAGAACATAATATCCACAGATGTAATATCACGATGTAAAACGTTGTAAATATATAGTCAACATATTTTTAATAATATCCCTGTAATACGTTACGTTACTTTATGCTAAATTGACGTGAAAATCGGTTTAGGATATTGAATTTAAACACGATTGAAAATCTCTGGAATATCGGGATAATCGCTGTCATATACTTACATATACTATTCGGCTTAGCCGGGCGAACTTATTCCTCGAAACTTTCAAAGTATCCTGCTGCGAAGCAATATCGCTGCGCAGGTCTTACGAAATGCTCGAGACTGCAGTCAAACTAAATATTTGAAAACATATCTCGGTACCTTATGTCCAGAAAATCGCGAAATGAAGCCGAGAGTCGAAAGGACTTTTTCGCGATTGTTTCGATAAGTGCTTCTGTGCTTGGGCAGTAACTTCTTTTAATACACTCCGAGATCAATATATTACACGAACATTGTATTTTTCTCGAAAATCAAACATAAACTTTAACTGTATATGTCTGGAACTGACGGCTTAACGAGAGTCGGAAAGGAGAACTTCCATCTTCAACTTCTGTAAATCGCATTTCGACAGTTCTCGCTTTTCCTTATAATTCTTACTTTCTCTCGTTTTC